GTGGGTAAGAACCTCACTTCTTGCATCTGAAGAAGTGAGGTTCTTACCCACGAAAGCTTATGCTCTCAATACTTCTGTTAGTACTTAAAGGTGCCACAGGACCCTCTGTTGCTTTTTACAAAAAGTAATTTTCCCTCTGCTGATACTCACACCTTCTTGTCAACTGTTGAGAATAGACCACTTCCACCTTAATTGAATTGGCTCGTTAGCACTGCCCCCCCCATTTGGTAAGGCAAGGCTCATCTTTTCATGTGCTATAAAATATATTCTGCTTACTGTATTTTTCACTCCATGCATCTGATGAAGTGGGTTTTAGCCCACAAAGCTTATGCCCAAATAAATATGTTAGTCTCTAAGGTGCCATAAGGGGACTCCTCGTTGTTTTTGCTGATACAGGCTAACATAGCTACCTCTGAAACCTAAGAGGGTATGTTTCCTAATATGAATGTATGAGATAGCACTGCAAGGTTTCTAGTGGGAGATATATTTGCTTAAAGTAAATAAATTACATTTCCTATCATTACTGCTGGAAGGCAGGGAACGCTTGATGACGTTACATAAGTCTTATAAAGATTCCGACAACTGTGCTTCTGCCTTCAATGGTAACTGCATGCAGCTGGCCCAGAGCATAATGATGTCTTGTTATGCCACTTTAATAGTTTTCCAAGGCTAGGTCTACACTACCCGCCTGAATCGGCGGGTAGAAATCGACCTCTCGGGGATCGATTTATCGCATCCCATCGGGACGCGACAATCGATCCCCGAATCGACGCTCTTACTCCACCAGCGGAGGTGGGAGTAAGCGCCGTCGCCCGGAAGCCACAGAGGTCGATTTTGCTGCCGTCCCTACAGCGGGGTAAGTCGGCTGCGATACGTCGAACTCAGCTACGCGAATTTGCGTATCTTAAATCGACCCCCCCCGTAGTGAAGACCTGCCCCAAGCTAGTAGTTAGAAAGGAAGCAAGGTTTCTGCTGCCAACGGTTTTGAACACGGTAAAGCACGAACTCTTTACCTAGCAAATGATTGTCTGTCAGGCCCCTATAAATGTCCCATCTAGCGAATAGAAAATGAGTGAAAATAGGGTGGCTTTTTAAATCATTTTATAGATTTAATAACCATATACCTGCTAAAGAATAAGATGTATAAGATTTATTTTTAAAAAAAATCTATGGAAGGGAGATAATTTAGTAATAAAATATATGGAGTTTTGCAGTAACTTCTTCAAAACCTTTTAAAATTAATTTCTGTAGAATCTTATTGGTTTCATCCCAATTAAATTCCATAGGATGTTTCCAGAAGGCAATCTTGCAGTTTTAGGCAGAGGTGTTTCAATTCTTAAGTGATCAGTGCCAGGAACAATACATATTTATCAGTGACAAAAATATTCAACAGCCAGCAAGTAACTGTGCTTGCTTCAGTGTTCTACTAGAATAACTTCAGGGTGGAGTGACTCCTGACTTACATCAGTGCACATGAGAGCAGAATCAGGCCCATGGTCTACTAAGTGCCACATTACAAAGTGAATTCTAAAGTCTAAAATATTGTCGTAGACAGTCATATTTTTAAACAAGGGAAAACCCTGTTTACTAATGTGTGATACCCAGAATAATCAATTGTACATGGTCCTGATCCATCACACTTGAGTGCTTTGCTGAATTGAGGCCCCTATCATCTTACCTAAGCCATGTTCTTGACAATCCCTCAAAGACAAAAGCCCAGCTTTTTACTGTTTCAAATACAACTGACTAAGGGCACATCTACACTGCACAGTTAAGCTGGCCATTTACCCAGATTTTAGTCCTAAGCGGCCTCCCCAGCCCCGCCATCTACACAGAAAAATCACTGACCTGGGTTTGGAAGTGCCTGAAGACCAGGCTAACTGACCCGGCTTGGGCCTCAGGTAGAATCTGGGGTCCACTTTAACTTGGGCTGAAACCCGCCCACCTTGTACTAGGGACGTGTGGTAAATCACTTGAGTGCTGGTGGTCCTCCAATGCCCTTCCCACACTTCCCCCAGAAGAAAAGGACTAATTCTCCCACAATTGACCACAAAAGAACCCTGGAGCATCTCAACACAGGGAACCATGGGATATGCTCACAGACACACACACAGGCAAGTGTAGAAACATTGAAAACCCAGTAATGGGTATGGCTTTGTAGTGTGACTGCTCACACCTAGGCTAGGTACTCAAACTCAATAAACCCAGTTAACTGAATGTATACACCGCCTAAGGGGGCAGGGACAGTCTTTCTTTTCTGTGTTTGCACTGCACTTAGCACTATGAGGTCCTGGTCCAGGAATGGAGCTCCTAGGTGCTATGGTAATATAAATAACAATAAGAAGTTGCTTGGCACTGGCTAATAATCCTGTGGTATGAGTTTTCTTCCCAGGGCGAACAGCCTTCACATGTCGATAATCTGTCTCATACACAAGAAGTACTTGTGCTTCCTATCCCTCAGGATGCTAGCCTGCCTGTTTTCCAAGGCAAATTTCAGATAGTCACAGGATTTAACTTGATTATTTATCAATTTTAATCTGCAGTGAAGAAGAAAATTAAATACAGAGTTCCCTAGCAAGATAATAAAACTTATACAGATGAAGCGTAGTGCAGTCATCTGAATAACAAGAACAGTTAATTCAATGAATGTAAAATGGTCTACAGCCTATAGTGCAGCATTTGTCTTTACTCTGCAGTAACAGGCTATTAAAAGATAGATGGGGGTGGAGGTTAGCATCTAAAATAAATTAGAATTTTGTTACCATGAAAGAAACATATTGTTCTCTGAAGGACCAACCATTTGAGACATCCTTTAAAGGTAGGAATCAAACATATTTAGTCTGATGAGGTCACAAGATTTGATCTGGACTGGAACACTCCTATGGATAATATAGTACACAAAGATATTAATGGTATTTGCTCAATCCTTGGCTTATGAGTAAAAACTGCAGGTGAGCTGTAAGAGTCAGACAACATCTCATAATAATTAATTCTAGGAACACAATAGCAAAAGTACTAATGCAGTGCTAGTACTATTTATCATCCATGTAAAAATGCCAGTCATGCTTTTTTATACAGTATTTGATTGTTTTCTCAGTTGAGATGTTATAAACATGTTCACCAGCCTTACCCCAACCTTTCAAATGTATGATGGGACGTGATGAGCTTTGCATTAGGGAGTGCAGCATCAGATACAGGATGTTGTACTACACGAGTCCATCATCTAAGCGATGGCGTTCGCAACATGCACACCTCTGTAATATCAGCGCATGCCATGCAGCACTGCATATTAATAAGTGAGTATGGGCCCACACTGCAACATAGCCTCAAACTCTGGACTTCTGGGGAATAAGCAAGGATGGGTCAGCCTCAGGACTTTTGGTTCAGTTCAAATAAGCACCCAGATGTCACCCAAGGTGTATCTGAACTTCTTGGGCTGAAAATCTAGTGTGAACTATCGGTTTCATAGTATTATGGCACTTCTGTTTCCACTCTCAGCTGGGACAAGGGAATGCAGAGGTGCATGAAAATGAAGATCTAGAGAGAGAGAAAAGTTATCGCAAATGTTGGAATCCCAAGGGTCGATTTAAGTTCATTTTCAGTTTGGGTCAGTGATTAATCTAAATCACTTCATCAATCTCTAGCACTAAGTCACAACCTATTCGGGTGGTATCTGTGCACAGAGAAGCCTCCAGTCATTACTCAGACAAAACTCACATTGAAGTCAACAGGAGTTTTCTCTAAATAGGGATTATAGGATCAACCTTTAAGTCAAGGACCCGAAGAAAAGTTTGGTGTAAGCTTGAAAGCTTGTCTCTTTCTCCAATAAAAGATATTACCTATCCTACCATGTCCATCTTAATTCAAGCAGCAGTTACTTCAATAGCGTCCCCTCTCTTCTTTGGCATTAAACCGCCTATCTGTTCCTACAGTATACTGTAGTTTCTGAGTAGCAGCCGTGTTAGTCTGTATCCGCAAAAAGAACAGGAGTACTTGTGGCACCTTAGAGACTAACAAATTTATTTGAGCATAAGTTTTCGTGGGCTACAGCCCACTTCTTCTGTAGTTTCTATTCACTTTATGGTTCTGACACACTAATACAATTTAAAATGGAAAAACTACTTATAAAGCTTCAAGCCACTTTTTTGGACTTTCTTCTATGTAGAGGAAAAAAGCAACAGGTAGGAATGAATCTGTCCTGTAGAAAACCTATGGCATATTTTTGCTCTTTCATTCTAAAGGGTTAACTATGACCTTTACAGAGAAAGAAGCAGCAGCAAGCAAAAGTGAAAGAGGAAGCTACTCACCTTGTGTAGTAACGATGGTTCTTCGAGATGTGTCCCCCTATGGGTGCTCCACTGTAGGTGTATGTGCACCCTTGTGGTGTGCCTCTAATCGGAGATTTTTGGTAGCAGTCTCCGTTGAGCCCCTGCATGTGCCCTCCCTCCCTTGTGGTCTGCCTCGAGGCTATCTAGCACTGCACGGGCGAACCCCCCTCACTTCCTTCTCAACCACTGAGCCCTATAGAGAACTCTGAAGTAGAGGGGAGGAGGGTGGGTTGTGGAGCACCCATAGGGGGACATATCTTGAAGAACCATCGTTATTGTAAGGTTAGTAACTTCTTCTTCGAGTAGTGTCCCTGTGGGTGCTCTATTGTAGGTGGCTCCCAAGCAGTACCCACCACTGGAGGCTGGGACTTCTGAGTGGAGTCTATTACTGCACAGAGTACTGTGGAGTCAAAGATGGCATCCGGGTTCAAATCTTCTGTGATTGCATAATGTTCTGTGAAAGTATGGGCAGAAGCCCAAGTCGTTGCTCAACAGATTACTGAGATGGTCACATTCCTTAAAGATATCCCTGACGTAGAAACGGACCTCATGGAGTGCGTATGGACTCTGGACAGAAGCAGGTTGCACCCTTGATAACAGTGATTAATGCAACCAGAAACCCATTTGGATAGTCTCTGAGCTGACATCACAGAGCTTTTGGATCTTTCTGTGGATGAAATGAAGAGTTTAGGGGATTTCGTTAAGTCCTCATTCCTGTCCAAGTAGAATGCTAGTGTCCTTCTAACATCTAGCATATGCAGAATTGTCTCCCTGTTGTCACAATGTGGTTGGGGTTAAAAAACAGGGAGATGGATCTGTTGATTCATATGGAAAGTGCAGAGAAAATAGGGAGAAACTTGGGATATGGCCTTAGAGTTACTTTGTCTTTTTAAAAGGCCATGAATGGTGGGTGTGCCATCAGGGCCACTATTTCTCCTATGTGCCGAGCTGAGGTGCTGGTGATTAGAAATGCTGTCTTCATGGACAGAAGTGAGAGAGAGCAAGTTGCCATGGACTCAAAGGAAGGTCTAGTCAAAGCCCTGAGAAATAGGTTATGGTCCCAGGTTGGAGTGGGTGATGTCACATGCGGGAAGAGATTCCCAATGCCCCTAAGGAATCTACGCATCAGCGGATGAGCAAACACTGAGTATCTGTCTACCTGGCAGTGGAAAGCTATTTTCACCGTGAGATGTACCTTAAGGGAGCTGAGTGAGAGTTTTGACCTCTTGAGGTCTAAAATGTAGTGCAAAATCAGAGGGAGCGAAGATGAGTTGGGTCTATGTTTTTAGAATGACGACAAACTTGGAATCATTTCCATTTTGTGGGTTAGTATGTTGAGTGGTCAACTTTTGGCTGTGTAGCAACACGTCTTTCAGCTCATCAGAGCACTGTGCCTGGAGTCAGAGTACCCTCAGGTTTGGGGTGAAGGATCAGCCCATTGTTTTGAGAGAACATGTGAGGAATGGGCCAAAGAGGAACAGGAGGGCATATTGCCATCTGTGTCAGGTAAGGGAGCCAGACTTGTCATGGCCAGGAGGGGCAATCAGAATAACTCTCGCTTTGTCTCGTTGAATTTTCAACAGGACCTTGGATAGAAAAGGAAACTGGGAAAAGGCGTAAAAGAGGGCCCTATCCCATGGGAGGATGAGGGCATCTCCCAGTGAATGTTTCCCCAGGCCAGTTCTGGAGCAGTAACGAGGACATTTCTTGTTCCGGTAAGTAGCGAAGAGATCCATAGTCAGGGTTCCCCAAAGGGCGGATGCACCAATTCCAAAGTTTGGGTGCTTCTGTGCAGAAGGAGGGAGATCTGGCACTCCTTGATGATTTATGTAAAACATCCAGATCATATTAAGTCCATCATGACTTTTGTGTGGGTGTTCTTGATGAAACGCAGAAAGTATGCACAGGCACTCCTGACAGTCCTTAGCTCCAAAAGAGTGAGATGGACAGTCACTTCTGTGGAAGGCCATTTGCCCTGAATCTTGTGATTATGTAGATGAGCTCCCCAGCCTATTAGGGAGGCATCCGTCCCAGGGTGGTGAGTCTGTGTAGCAGGAGGAATGCTCTCGCTTGTACTGCATCAAGGTTGGTGCTGATAAACTCCAGTAACTGTACCAGGGTTAGTGCACCACTACAATGAAGGGAACCTTTGAGAATACCCTGGGTGGAGCAGTCTGTACTGATAATGGTCCTGCCCCAAAGGTAAACCATAGGAAATCTCCTGTACAATGGTTATATTGAGATCTGGAAGTAGACTTCTTGTAGGTTCAGGTTCTCCTTGCTCTAGAGCTGATATAATGGCTGCTAGTGTGACCATCTTGAATGTCTGCACCTTCCCATATTTGTTTAATGCCCTTGGATCTAGAATGGGCCTCCAACCTCCCTTCGCCTTGGGGATCAGGAAATAATGAGAGTAAAACCCCTTGCTCCTGAGTTGCACCAGGACTGGTTCAATGGCCCCTAGGCATAACAAATGATATATTTCCTGATGAGGTAGGCTCTCATGAGAAGGGTCCCTGGAAGGGGGATGGGATATTAATTGAATGGCATAACTCTTCAAAATTATCTCCAGGACCCATCTGTCAGAGGTGATATTCTCCCAACTGCTGTGAAGTAGGGCCAGGTAACTTCTGAAGGGGTGTGACAGGTGGGTAGGTTGCAGCTGATGTTGCAAGGTATAATTGTTCAGGCCTTCAACCAACCTGTCAAAAGTGATTAGCAGAGGTGGTTTGAGAGGTCATGGACTGGGATGCGGACTGCTTCTGCTTTTGAGCCCTGGTCCTCCTACACCGTGGCTCATAACAGTGCTGAGATGGTGGGTATTGAGGAGGTTGTGACCTGTGCTGTGGCTGAGAGAGGTATATCTTCTCTTCTGTTTCACAGTGTAGATTCCCAGGGAGCATAATGTGGTCTGGGAATCCTTCAGGATGTGGAGAGAAGAATCTGTCTTCTCCACGAAGAGTTTGGGCCATTCAAACTGGAAGTCTTTTGCAGCTCTTTGGGCAATCCAGAAAGGTGTAGCCAAGAAGTCTGCCTCAGTACTACTGTCATGGAGACCGGGTGGGCAGCTGTATCAGCTACATCCAGTGCTGTTTCTAGCACCCGTCTGGCTATTAACTGACCCTCTCTAAGAATGGTCTGAAACTGTTCCTTTTGTATCTCCAGTAAATGTTCCAGAAATGCATTGAGTTTCCCATAATTAATGAAATTGTATTTGGCCATGACAATTTGGTAATTCGTAACTCTAAACCGTAATGTTGCTTACAAATACACCATCTTGCCAAGCCTGATCCTATGGGGTCAGTTTGGCATTATGTTGCTTGCTTCATGCATTAACTACATCCCCTATGATGGATTTGTGTTGCTGATGTTGAAACAAAGTCTTCCTCTTTGGGAGGGATGTAGTATTTTTTTATTTTATTTGGCTCTGTTGCTGGTTGATGCAATGGAGGCTGGGGTCTGCCAGATGATTTTGGTAGGATCTAGAATCACCTCATTAACTGGGAGGGTGGTTGAGCAGGAACTGAGGGGGATTCGCCTGCGCAGTGCTAGATAGCCACAAGGGAGGGAGACCACATGCGCAGGCTCAACCGACACTGCTACCAAAAATCTCTGATTAGAGGCACAAGGGTGCACATACACCTACAGTGGAGCACCCATAGGGACACTACTCAAAGAAGCAGCATATTTATTTCAGGCTTCTGGAAAGACCAAGTTATTGCCTGGCTGGGAAAAGTATATTCTCTAATTTGTTTAGCAGGAGTAGAGTTAATTTCATTTGATTTTTTTTCCCATTGGGTTATCCCAGCCCTAGAGAAGGGCACTGGGTCTAACTCAACCAAGTGGCAGCAAATAATCAACCTTCACATGGATGGAAACTAAATGCTCAATTCTAAATAGTAATTTAAGGGAAAAGAAAATTGCCTGCAATGCTGGGAATGGGTTAAGTACAATGTTCCACTGCTGTAGCTTCCCACTCAACAACCAATATCATCAATGTCTGATAAATGGGTGGGAGGGGGAAGGTGTTTTGAAAGTTTTAATATATTGATCTCTGTGTTATCCTGAATCACCAAGGCAACAGAACATTTTTCCAACCAGACCCTAGCTATTTTTAAAGGTATTAGCTTCTTAGAATCCATCATCTTTTGAATTACTGACAACTGTAGGTATGAAAGTAATTTTAGTACTTTTTGGACTGACGTAATACACACAGACAATTCAGAACATTTGGTAACTTGTCTCTCTGCTGAATTCATTTTACTGAAGTAATTTCTCTCCGCCGTCACAGAATATGGTAGGATATTTCTGATATTCAATCCAAAGCTTACTTGTTCCCATCTCCTGTCAGATTTTGCCTCTAGTTTCAACAATTCATTAATCCAGATGATGCAAAACTTTACTCACACGAGAGGTCCAATGGGAATGCAGATGCAAGGACTATTTGCTTGGGTTTGTAAAAATCAGACCCACATTTTGCACACTCCGGGACCTATGAATGTGCAAAGAGTGGTCTTATTCACATGTGAGATAAGAGTGAATGATGAAGACCGGGGCAACTTGCTTTGACTGGTCTGAGATGAGGCATCCTCTTCAATAGCTTTAATTCATTTTGGGTCAGTATCATGCTCCAGTTGGTGAAAAACTGGCCACAGCTGTCAGGCATCAGGAAATTCACATACACAAATGTCTTAGGGCAATAGGCTAGTTTGCAGCGCAGTGGTCAAAAGAGGTTCACTGACGCATTTGCTATGCTTCTACAGTTGAACACAGATTTGTATGACGAGACAAACCTTTATGGCTTCTATAGTAAACATTCATGGAGATGAGTATTTTGTTTGAATTCTGTTGCAATATTTAGAAAAGTTTTCTGGTATTAAATTATACTGTCACACCAATGAGTTGTCCTGCTCACTAAGAAGCATAGCACTGCTCCCAAATGGAAGTCCAGGAAGCAGATATCAACCAGCGAAAGCTTCTAAGAAGTCAGAAAAAGAAAGGGCAGCTGCTGTTGGGGGGGAATAACACAATGGGATTCTTTTGACTAATAGAGATCCATTTGCGACTCTGCTTTTATGTCTCCAGTACAAGCATGACCAGAGTTCAGTTCTTGATTTATCAAACGCTTATTTCAGAGCCAAGTGTCTTTTGCCAGAGCTGAGAGGGCTTGATTAAAACGTATAAACCCCTCATCAATTATATATTTCTTCCCACTGTACCTCCATCATGTTCATGAACTAACAGCTCAAACTGAAGCTCTATGTGCATTAATACAGGAGCATACAGCACCATTACCACATTGCAATTGAAGGTAGTATTGACTGGCTTAATGTGTAATTAAACATTTCCATCCACATACAAAGTCAAGATGCAAATAATATGGGTTAGCAACTGATAGTTCCAGGTGTCATTCGCATCACTCCTGTCCCTTTGATGGCCCTATATTTTTAGTATGGAAGTGAGAGACTGCAATGTGAATTTTTTTTTATATATATACACATACACACACACACAGAAGTTGGTCCAATAAAAGATATTACCTCCCCCCAGCATGTCCACCTTAATTCAAGCAGCAGTTACTTCAATAGCATTCCCTTTCTTCTTTGGCATTAAACCTCCTAATTGTTCCTACAGTCTACTGTAGTTTCTATAGTTGACACACTAATAACATTTAAAACAGTATCTATATCGATAGATAGATAGATAGATATATGCTGAGGTCCATTAACCAGCACCATCCATTATCAACTCAGTGGATAGCAGAGCCAGATTACAGGCAGTGAATGGTAGTAGCACAGACTATGAAAGTACCCACTGGTATTCATCAAGTGATAAATAACCTGGGATACACCTGACTAGTTAAATTATTTCAGGGCTGTTTTGACACATTTTCAACAATGACATGATGTCAAATGTGATTAGGAAAACCCAACAGCCAATTCAAATTCAGGTTTCTCTAAAGCAATACAAAACAATTTCCTAGCAGCCTGATTTGTAATGACATTTACATTCCTTGGGAAGATTTCACTTGTCTCAGAACACTCTAGGATTGGCAGTCAAAATCTACCCATTTTCGAAACTGAGCTACCTGTAAAAAAAAAATGTTCAATGCAAATTTTTCATGAGGGAATTCATCATTGTTGGATGTGCTCTTATCTGCTGTCTGCCTGAGTCTTAGCTACACTTCAGGGGGATTTGTGGACAGTCAGTGCATGCCAACATGTCTGACTTACACACTACCTGCCAAGAAGAACAACACTAGAAAAAAAGGCACAAAGGCCCTGTTCTAATATAGAACCTTCCACTATTTGTTCCCTAGTGAATTTTGTGTTGAATGTTTAGTTACACTGCAAGCTCCTAGGCCCAGGACCGAATCCTACAAACTTCTACTCAAGGCATTTATTTAGAAGTCATTGTGTATGCACTGCAATAGGTTAGGTCACATTGCTTTTATTAAATACATGCTAATTATGGCACTCATATTGCAGTATTTCAGGTCACACTGCAATAATCTAGGGCACAATGCAATATTTAAAGCCAGTGGTACACTCATGTGAGTTATCGTTGCTTGACAATAAGTGTTTGCAGACTTGACACCATGTTTTTCCTTGTGTTGGGTACACTACTGGGCAGACCACTGCCACTTTTACAAATAATAAATGCTAATATTAAGCATAGGGGAGCAGGAAAAAAAGGCTAAACTTACATTCTTATACAAACAGATCACAGACAAATGTATCTTCAAGCAGTAGTTAATGATGAATTGTTTGTTAATTAATGTATCGAAGTTTATGCTGTAAGCCAATTCCCCTATGAATGAGATTCATGTCCTTATTCTTCATAGTAATAGATATTTTTTAAAAGCCTCTTCAAACAAGAACCATGTGAAACTTGCCTATTTCACTTCCCAACAGTTTGTAAGAACATTTTCTTAGATTTCAATCCATTTGGGCATTTCAGACATTAGGGGTTCAAAAATCTCAATCCAAAACTGCCTTTCTGCACGGAAAGAATATGAACCTGCAAATCTCATGTGATTTCAACCCCAAACCACAAATTAACTCAGGCTTTCTTCTGGTTAGGCCTAAATTCACACAAATGATCTATGAACCCCAGTAAACCTGGTATAAGTTTGTAGTAAAACCTGAAATGGGGGAAAAACAACAAGGAGTACTTGTGGCACCTTAGAGACTAACACATTTATTTGGGCATGGGCTAAAACCCATTTCATCAAATACATGGAGTGGAAAAAACAGTAGGAACACACACACACACACACACACACACGCTTCCTCAGCTCTCATCCCCTAACTTCCCTGCGCTACATTGATGACATCTTCATCATCTGGACCCATGGAAAAGAGGCCCTTGAGCAATTCCACCAGGATTTCAACAGTTTCCACCCCACCATCAACCTCAGCCTGGACCAGTCCACACAAGAGATCCACTTCCTGGACACTACAGTGCA